TTTTAGAGAGTCTGTGTGACATCTTGGAGAGTTTTCTTTGTGAAATCCAAGAGAAAAACGTTTGTGAAAAGCTTGTGAGGAAATCATCATCATCATCATACTCTTGAAAGAGGAAGACAAAGATTTGTTCAAGAATTCCAGGTGAATTCGTTTCATTTTATTCTTTGTGAATCTTTGTGAAAAATCTTGAGAAGGGTTTCTCAAGTGGTGAAGTTTCTTGTAGTGGGTTCTACAAGGGTTACTTTCTTGGGGTCAAGAAAGTGGTTATCTTTTTGTAGTGAAGTATATGCATGTGTGTGTGCTTGTAAACCTTCTTGCTAAAAGATAGTGGATCAAATCTTAATCAGGTGGTGATTAAGGACTGGATGTAGGTCACATGTGGAGTGGCTGAACCAGTATAAAAGACTTGTGCAATCTTCTTCAACCTTATCTCTTATTTTGTAACTTCTTGGTTGTGCTTTAAAGAAGATAAAACTTGACTAACATGTGTATGTGAATTTTGATGGTTTAAATCTATAATTGGATATTATATTTGAACTTCATTGTCTTGTAATCAAGTTGCACATTGCATTCATATCATAGTAACAAGTCTTTAAGAGTGCTTCATTTGAAAATTCTGTCATAGAAAAGTTTTGATTGAATTTAAGATCCAAAAACTCTAATAAATTTTTAAAGGGTCATTGAATCCAATTCCCCTCCCTCTTGGATTGGGCCATTCTTTTCTAACAATTCCAACAGAGATTTTTTCCATTAATCAAGACATTTGCTTTGGCTGCAGCATAGCTATTTTCTCTTTTGACATTATGGCTTAGATTTTCCTTGGTTTTCATACATGATATTATTTTCTCAAAACACAATTTTTCGTACTTCACTTATGATTGAAGATGTATATATGTAGCATTTTAGATGTGGAGATTCATTTTTGTTTTGGACTTGCAGATTGCGTGCAGAGACTATCCTCATCCGCGGCATTTTTGTGTCAAATTTCCTTATTCTTCCGCCCTTCATGAGAAGCACTGTGACCAAGTAAAGATCATAACTTGTTGCTTAAGGCTATGTCAGAATTTAGTTTTATGTATTAGCTGGTTTAATTGTAATTGTTTGTTATTTTATGTTTGATATTATCCTTCTATCACTCTGATTTTTGCTTTCTTTAATGACATTCAGTGCCACTGTTATGTGTGTGACTCAGTAGCACCATGTCTGAAGTAGAAAGTGAAGTAATGGTGTATGTGAATATAAAATTGAATCGTGCAGCTTATTAGATGATATTAATTAATTATTGGTGTCTTGTTGATATATTGAAGGAAATTGTGAATCCCAAGGCTTCAAGGATTTCATGAATGAGAGCAAGTTGATGGATCTTTTGAACAGCTCTGACTATGTCCCGACCTATGAAGACAGGGATGGCAACTGGATGCTTGTCGGTGATGTCCCATGGGAGTAAGTTTTCCTCCACTTGATGACCCTAAATTATTTTGGTTCCAATAATTTGACCTTGTAATAGTTTACAAAGAAAAAGAGCAGGGAACATAAAAGTAGAAAAAAGAAGACACGAAGTTGATATGCACATCGCATTGTTATTTCAAACAAGGATAACGAGTCCTTATCCAAGAAACTTTGCGTAAAAAATTATGCATGTTCGAAGGAAATAATGCGGTGTTATTATCTTATTTTTCTATCATGTCCACGTGCATCAGAATAAATATATCCTTTTATTATGTTGTACCAATTAGTGTTAAGTTTTTGACATTGAACACGCACGTATATAGCATTGATAAACCATAACTTTTTTCGAAATAGCCTCGAATATATTTATAGTTCTGCTCAATTATTATGTAATTAATAATATCAATATTGATTCTATGTAAACCAGGATGTTTGTTGAATCATGCAAGCGCTTACGTATCATGAAAGGAAAGGAAGCTATTGGACTGGGTTAGTATCTTAATTTACTTGCGTACTTTTACTTTTTACTTAACAAAACACTACATTTAATTATTAGTCATGATTCCAAGTATATATAATTAATCCTTCCATTAATTTGATTAATTAACATGGATGTTCTGTAGAAAGGTTCAAATTTTAATTATTGAAATAAACACATCTGAAAAGAAATTAAACTTGTTTATTGTGCCCCAGCACCAAGAGCCGTGGAGAAATGCAAGAACAGGAGCTAGACTAGAAGTTACGAGTCCATAACCTGCTCCATTGTCAGTGATGCCCAGTTGACTTAGTAATTGAAGCAAGGTTAAGCTGCAGCAGACACAGATGGACAGAGCAGGGTGTTCAAAATAGTTATTAATCTGTGTATCATTATGGTTTGTTATATAATATCTTTAATAATTTGTTTGTCTGTTGTAGCTATATATTTTTTGTGGCTCTATTGTGGCTGTTTGTGAAAAAATAAGCATAATTAAGGAACATAGGTAATATTTCTTGTTTTAATGTCCTGTCTATCCATAATTAAGGATATCTAGCAATATTCAATAATTGGCTTTAACCAGAATATAAGATATCTACAATATCTAATGGTCCTCTCAAGCTAGAGCATATAAAGTATATTTATTGAGCTAGTTTCAAATATTACGACACTTTCAGATTAACTCTCTTATGCCAGGGCCTAGTTTACCAACTACTACTATGGATGACCCCCAGACACCATGTTGAGGACGAGCAGCATGATCATGTTAATGATACACCAAAAGATTTTTGATTGTATGTGTATTTCTTTTTTATGATATCATATACTTGTTTTAGTTTTTATTATTAGTTAAATGTTATATACTCCTTTTGGATGTTTTTAGTTAGTTGTGTATTTGATGACTTATTTTAGATGTTTTATATTAATTGTGGTTTAGAAAACTTTATTTGATTTTTACTATTAGTTATTAGTTAAATGTCATTTTTTTTATTCTTTTTATTAGTTGTGATTTTGTAGATTGTATCATATATTATATATTTTAATTACTTTTATTATGAAATTAGGACTATATATGCATTATCAACTTTAGTGTTATTGTTTTATTGTTAAACAGGTTCAAAATGAAAATGAAAATAAAATATATAGTGTTTAAGGTATAAAATTAGCGATCATGTCTAAAAATAAAGTAAGCCTAGCGACCGAAAAAAATCTATTTTTTTATTTTTTTTCAAAAATAAAATTATGTTTAGCGATCGATTTAGCGACCGAAATGAAAATTATTTTTAAAAATAATAAAATTTAGCGACCGATTTAGCGACCGAATCAGAAATTATTTAAAAAAAAAATAAAACAACACCTTTAGCGACTGATTTAGCGACCGAAATGAAAATTATTTTTTTAAAATAATAAAATTTAGCGACCGATTTAGCGACCGAAATTAAAATTAATTTTTTATTTTGAAAAATGTTAGCGACCGACTTAGCGACGGAAAGGAAAATTATTATTTAAAAATTTAAAAATAAATAACACATTTAGCGACCGATTTAGCGACCTTTTTTTCGGTCGCTATTTTGGTCACCAATATCCTATGGCGACCATAATCGTAGTGACCAATTAGCGACTGAAAATTTCGGTCGCTAATTAGCGACCACCAGTATTTCCGTCGCTAAACAATTTTGCGACCAGGGTTTTTGCAACTACTTCTAATCGGTCGCTAATTCGGTCGCTAAAGTAAATAGCGACCGATTTAAGCAATTTAGTGACCGATTTTTCTGGTTGTTAAAATCCCTTTTTCTGTAGTGATATAATAATGATATGTATAGGGAAAGAGAGAATCACCTTTTCTTCTTTTCTCTGTTTCTTCTTGCTCTGCTCTTCAACTTAGACGCACAAAGAGGAAGAAAAGGGCGAGAAAAATAGTTTGGACTCATAAATATTAGAGGAGGGAAACAATGAAAAATATTAGGAGGGAAACAAAGTGAAATATATATGAGGGAAAGGATAAAGAAAGAATATAATTAAAACCTCTACAAAAAAGAATTAAAACTCCCACTATTATCATCATTTTAAACAATATGTGAGGACCCGGTAAATCATTTTAATTTGTGGGTTCTTTTTATAACTTTCGCAAAATAACCCCTACTAAATAACACTTTTTTTTGTAGTTTAATATTTAAACATTTTTATGTAGATTTTTATAACTTTTAAAAGAGAAAACTATTACAAATAACTAAAATATATGGTTAAATATTTGAATATAATTTTTTTAGTAAATATTCATGAGTACTGTAGATATCCACAAATATTAAAATAATATATGGGTATCCACTCAATGGATACCCGCATAAATATGGGAACGAGTATGAAGCAGATATTTATCCAATGGTAGAGTATGTAGTAGGGAACTATTACCCGTATTTGTCTCGTCTAGTTGACATCCTTGCTTACCCATAAAGTAAACAAATCTTTCTCTCTCTTTCTCTCTCTCTCTCTCTCTATATATATATATATATATATATTTGTTATACGTAACAGTACTATGATTAGATGTAACTTTTAACACTTATATCAATTTTTATACTTTTAATAGTTTTTTTTTTATAATGTCAACTATTGAATTATATAATAGGCCCCAACAGTTCTCAGAAATGCTTATAAAAACCTAGGTTGAGCCCATCAGGTCCTGTCGCTTTGTCTGCATGCATTGAAAAGAGGGCAGATCGAAACTCGCTGATGCAGAATGGTCTTAAGAGGTGCTCATTATCTGCAGTGGTGATGCGTTGAGAGAGAGAATCTATGACTGGGTCTGGCGTGTTGGCGGAAGCTGTGAAGAGTGTATCAAAGTACGTTTTGGCTACGTCCATGAGTCCCAGTTGGTCGTGCACTACCACATTATCATCGCGGGTGAGTTTCTGTATGAGGTTGGTCTTTCTCCTTGCACTGGCTATGGCGTGGAAATATTTAGTATTGCTGTCACCATCCTTGAGCCAAAACAGTTTTGACCTTTGCTTCCAGAAGGATTCCTCCTGCATGATAAGTGAACTGAGTCTTTCTTGAAAATCAAGGAGCCGGGATATGGACGCAGGGTCTTGCTTGTCTCTCAATGCCAAGATATGTTTCCTGCATGCTTCTATTGGAGCTCTAAAGTGAAGTCGGATCTTTCTCCCCCAGGCATCCATATCTGTTGCACAATGGTGTAGCTTGTGCAATATGTCGGGAGATTGTGCTTGTAGCCAATTGCGCGTCACTAGTGGTGTTAACGTTGGCTCTTTCAGCCATGCATTTTCAAACCTGAAAGCACGTTTTGGGCGTGTGTATCTTTGCCCCGAGAGATTGAGAAGGAGAGGGGAGTGATCTGACCTGGCAGCCACCACATTGAGGAGCCTACAGTGGGGGAAGATGTCCAACCAAGAACTTGTAGACATAGCTCGGTCCAGTCTCTCCTCTATTTGGAGTGGTGTTCCTTTGCTTTTGACCCATGTGTACTTGTAACCCTCCAAGGGTAGGTCGATCAGATTGGCGTCTGTGACAGCAGAACGAAAACCGTGTGGCAACCATGGAGGATGTGCATGGGTGCCGCGTTTATCATCATCAGTGAGCAGATCATTAAAGTCCCCCATGATACACCACGGGAGAGAGTTGTCTTGTGCTAGGTGGCGTAGAAGATTCCATGAATCTCGTCGTCGTGCTCGTTCAGGGAAACCATAGAAGCCAGTGAGGCGCCAAACAGGGTTGGATACGTGAGATACTTTCACGTTGATGAAATGTGGGGAATAGTTAATGAGTAGACAGTCAAAAGGTTTTTTCCAGAATAATGCTAGCCCTCCACTGTGGCCGGAGCAACTAACCGCAAAGGAAGAGTCGAAATTCAAACGGGATCGTAGTTCATCTATACGAGAAGCTGATACAAGAGTTTCACACAAGAATAGAACGTCGGGGTGATACGTTCTGAGTAGGTCAAGGAGGGTAGGAACTGCACGCGGGTTGCCTAGGCCCCGGCAGTTCCAGCTGAGGAGACTCATGATCCCTGGTAGGCCTGATTCCCAGGGCCTACCTTTAAAAAATGAAGAGTGGAGATTCTGGAGTTTGTGTCTTCTAATGGGGAAGAGTGCTGGGCGTCGTCATTTGATATGGAAGCAACTTCGTGAAGATCATTAAAACCACGTTTTTTGCTAGTTGTTGTGATGTTTAGATCCTCATGGTCTTCTTCCATGGCGGAGTGATCAGCGCTGCCAGGTGGAGTGGGAGAAGTATTCTGTCGTTTGGGTGCAGTTACCATATTTTGAAAGATTTGAGCCATAATATCTTTCCGTTTTTGGATTTCCATAATATCCGGAAATTGGGTTGGTTGATTATGATCAGGAATAGTCCCCCCCTGATTTACGTGGAAGCCCGGAGAAACGGCGGCGGAAGCTCGCGGTGGCTGCGGGATGAATCCGGCCAAGATTATCGACATGATATCTTTTCCCATGCAAAAAATCTGGGCTTCCACGTAAATCAGGGGGGGACTATTCCTGATCATAATCAACCAACCCAATTTCCGGATATTATGGAAATTCAAAAACGGAAAGATATTATGGCTCAAATCTTTCAAAATATGGTAACTGCACCCAAACGCAAGAATACTTCTCCCACTCCACCTGGCAGCGCTGATCACTCCGCCATGGAAGAAGACCATGAGGATCTAAACATCACAACAACTAGCAAAAAACGTGGTTTTAATGATCTTCACGAAGTTGCTTCCATATCAAATGACGACGCCCAGCACTCTTCCCCATTAGAAGACACAAACTCCAGAATCTCCACTCTTCATTTTTTAAAGGTAGGCCCTGGGAATCAGGCCTACCAGGGATCATGAGTCTCCTCAGCTGGAACTGCCGGGGCCTAGGCAACCCGCGTGCAGTTCCTACCCTCCTTGACCTACTCAGAACGTATCCCCCCGACGTTCTATTCTTGTCTGAAACTCTTGTATCAGCTTCTCGTATAGATGAACTATGATCCCGTTTGAATTTCGACTCTTCCTTCGCGGTTAGTTGCTCCGGCCACAGTGGAGGGCTAGCATTATTCTGGAAAAAACCTTTTGACTGTCTACTCATTAACTATTCCCCACATTTCATCAACGTGAAAGTATCTCACGTATCCAACCCTGTTTGGCGCCTCACTGGCTTCTATGGTTTCCCTGAACGAGCACGACGACGAGATTCATGGAATCTTCTACGCCACCTAGCACAAGACAACTCTCTCCCGTGGTGTATCATGGGGGACTTTAATGATCTGCTCACTGATGATGATAAACGCGGCACCCATGCACATCCTCCATGGTTGCTACACGGTTTTCGTTCTGCTGTCACAGACGCCAATCTGATCGACCTACCCTTGGAGGGTTACAAGTACACATGGGTCAAAAGCAAAGGAACGCCACTCCAAATAGAGGAGAGACTGGACCGAGCTATGTCTACAAGTTCTTGGTTGGACATCTTCCCCCACTGTAGGCTCCTCAATGTGGTGGCGGCCAGGTCAGATCACTCCCCTCTCCTTCTCAATCTCTCGGGGCAAAGATACACACGCCCAAAACGTGCTTTCAGGTTTGAAAATGCATGGCTGAAAGAGCCAACGTTAACACCACTAGTGACGCGCAATTGGCTACAAGCACAATCTCCCGACATATTGCACAAGCTACACCATTGTGCAACAGATATGGATGCCTGGGGGAGAAAGATCCGACTTCACTTTAGAGCCGCCGTTTCTGTTGTCGGCTCGGAGTGTTGCATTCCAGTGGCGTTTCCCGTCATCCTTTGGCAAGGCGAAAAGGCTGTCGCAGCAATCCTCTAAATGGCCCATGACGCCACAGAAAAAGCAAAATATCCCTAAACGTTCGTATTTGAAGATTACTGTGAGGGCTGCACCGCCTGCTCTTCTAATACGCTTGTCTTTTTGCAACGGCACTCTCACATCCAGCAGCACACGAATGCGCATGTGGCTTTGCCAAAGGGTCATGTTGTTCTTTTCATCATACTCCAGAAAAACACCAATGTGGTTACCGATTTGTTGGCCCACCTCGAGAGACATGAAGCCTGGAGGTATGTTGTGTATTTGGATCCAAAAAGGGCATGTGAAGAGGGGGATCATATGAGGAATGTCCCCTGGCTGGAGAGTGCCAAGGATGAGAAGGTGTCTGTCGAAAGACCAGGGGCAACCTTTGAGCACCCCTCTTTGAAAATTTTTACCCAATTTCCCCCCCCCCCCCCTAGCCAATACACTGATCACACCATGACTACTCCTGATCTACACAACCTCAACCTTGGCCATGAAGAAGATGAACTCATCATTGCGAACGACCAACAAGAGACCAATGCCACCGACATTTCCTTATGCCTCATTGGCCGCTTTCTTACAGAACGGAACATCAGAGTTCAGATGATGAAGGTCCGGATGGCAGAGATATGGCAACCCAGGCGTGGAGTCTCCATTCAAGAGATAAGCCCAAGCCTGTTTATGTTCAAATTTTTTCACGCCATGGATATGCAGAAAGTGCTCAAAGGTTGCCCCTGGTCTTTCGACAGACACCTTCTCATCCTTGCTCGGAGTGTTGCATTCCAGTGGCGTTTCCCGTCATCCTTTGGCAAGGCGAAAAGGCTGTCGCAGCAATCCTCTAAATGGCCCATGACGCCACAGAAAAAGCAAAATATCCCTAAACGTTCGTATTTGAAGATTACTGTGAGGGCTGCACCGCCTGATATTTTGAAAGATTTGAGCCATAATATCTTTCCGTTTTTGGATTTCCATAATATCCGGAAATTGGGTTGGTTGATTATGATCAGGAATAGTCCCCCCCTGATTTACGTGGAAGCCCGGATTTTTTGCATGGGAAAGAATATCATGTCGATAATCTTGGCCGGATTCATCCTGCAGCCACCGCGAGCTTCCGCCGCCGTTTCTGTTGTCGGCTCGGAGTGTTGCATTCCAGTGGCGTTTCCCGTCATCCTTTGGCAAGGCGAAAAGGCTGTCGCAGCAATCCTCTAAATGGCCCATGACGCCACAGAAAAAGCAAAATATCCCTAAACGTTCGTATTTGAAGATTACTGTGAGGGCTGCACCGCCTGCTCTTCTAATACGCTTGTCTTTTTGCAACGGCACTCTCACATCCAGCAGCACACGAATGCGCATGTGGCTTTGCCAAAGGGTCATGTTGTTCTTTTCATCATACTCCAGAAAAACACCAATGTGGTTACCGATTTGTTGGCCCACCTCGAGAGACATGAAGCCTGGAGGTATGTTGTGTATTTGGATCCAAAAAGGGCATGTGAAGAGGGGGATCATATGAGGAATGTCCCCTGGCTGGAGAGTGCCAAGGATGAGAAGGTGTCTGTCGAAAGACCAGGGGCAACCTTTGAGCACTTTCTGCATATCCATGGCGTGAAAAAATTTGAACATAAACAGGCTTGGGCTTATCTCTTGAATGGAGACTCCACGCCTGGGTTGCCATATCTCTGCCATCCGGACCTTCATCATCTGAACTCTGATGTTCCGTTCTGTAAGAAAGCGGCCAATGAGGCATAAGGAAATGTCGGTGGCATTGGTCTCTTGTTGGTCGTTCGCAATGATGAGTTCATTTTCTTCATGGCCAAGGTTGAGGTTGTGTATTTCAGGAGTAGTCATGGTGTGATCAGTGTATTGGCTAGGGTGTGTGGCCGCAATTAGGTTAAAACTTCTCAACGAGGAGAGAAAACATCCCACGAGAGGAGAGAAAAATTATTTTGTATATCAAATTTTACACAAGTTCAAAAATTATTTTGTAGTTCATCATAGTATTTTATTTTAATATATAATATGATATTGAAAATAGGTGTAAACATCCAATTTTAGATAACATATCTAGAAAAATTCAAATTATGTAAAATTTGATATACATAATATACATGATTTGAAGTATATACAAAATTCAACAACTAAATTGGTTAAAATTACGTTACACAAAAAATTATTAAAAATATAAGATTTAATTTAACTTTTAGACTTACTCTTGATATCAATTGATATTTACTCATATAAAACATATTTAATTTTATATAATTAATTAAAATTTATAAGAAAAAAATATTTTAATCTATAAATTATATCCATCTATATATATTAAACACCCGTGTAAATATATTTTTAGAAATTTTTCTTCAACGAGAGTCTAGAAATTTTTTTTAACTTTTTATTAAAATTGTTGTTTATTTAAAGTAATTTTTATGAATTATATTTTAAAATAAAATATCAATAATTAAAAATAATCTTGTGTCATAATATAAATTATTTATTATAAATTTTAAATATAATTTATATATTTAAAAATATTTATATATATATATATATATTTATATAAAATATTATTTATTTATTTTTATATATAATAGACAATCTATTATAAATTTTAGTAATATACAATAAATGTTTAGCATGTACAATGCCCATACTAAATTACTAATTATTATTAAATTTATAACAAAAATTTCTTTAAATATATAAATTATATCTTGCATTTATAATAAATAAATGAATTATGATATAAAATTACTTATAACTATGAACAATTTAAATTTTATAATTAAAATTCATAACAGATATAGGAATATATATCGAAAGAGATAAGTACCATTACAAATATTAATAAAATGGCAATGAAATAAACTAATTGTGTGAGAATAGTCTTACTCAAAAATAGAAAACTATTTTAATGGATTATATATATATAAAACTGATAAATTTACTCACTTCAAATAATGTCTATTTATATTTATTTTATTTAATAATTTATATTTTATATTTAATTTTAACATTCAATTATTAAATTAAAAGTTTTAAATATATAAATTAAATTCGCAAAATTTAAAAATTTTAAAAATTATTAGAGTCAAAGTTGAACGTCTTTCACATGTATAATCAAAATTATCTTAATCATATAATTATTATAATAAAAATTGAAAATGAAAATAATATTACTATTAATGTTAATTGATTCTTTTTATAATATAATTTATCTAATTATTAAATTTATTTGTTATATTGTTAATGTTTAAACTTCCATAAATGTAATGTGCGTAATCTGAACGTTTATGATGTGTTTTTCAAACTTAATTAGTATGATACAATATAATTAAGAAAATCAAGTTATATATATATATATATATATATGTTGCTTCGTGGAAATTGAGTTCTAAGTTACTAGGTCTTAGTCCACTCCCCAACTCGCACCAACAACCCTATAAATAGCTACCCAATATCACGTTACCTTTCACACCAAATCAAACCCATTATCATCGATCCGAGTTAAGTTCCATGATGAACATGTTTCACATTCTTTTCCTCTTCACTCTTCTCTCATCCACTTCCTATGCTTCTGTCAACGATTTCTGCATAGCAGACCTAAAAGGTCCAAATAGCCCTTCAGGCTATCAGTGCAAGCCACCCAACACAGTGACAGTGGATGACTTTGTGTTCTCTGGCTTTGTAGCTGGAAACATCACAAACCCTTTCAATATTGCATTAACCCCAGCATTTGTGACCGAATTTCCAGGAGTAAATGGCCTTGGAATTTCTGCAGCACGGTTAGACATGGGCGTAGGAGGATCTGTTCCAATGCACTCGCATCCTGGTGCCACTGAACTACTCATAATGGCCAAGGGTAAAATCACTGCTGGTTTTATAACACCCTCTGGGCCATATGTGAAGAAACTGAAACCAGGAGATGTTATGGTTTTCCCACAAGGACTCATGCATTTTCAAGTGAATTCTGGTAAGGGAAAAGCCAGTGCTGTTTTGGCTTTTAGCAGCGAAAACCCTAGCGCGCAACTGCTTGATCTTCTCTTGTTTGGCAATAGTTTGCCTTCTGAGTTGGTTGCACAAACTACCTTACTTGATGTTGCGCAAGTGAAGAAGCTCAAGCCTCTTTTTGGTGGCAGAGGCTAGAACTGCTCATGAATGCATTCCTAATTAATGTTTGTTGCAATCATCCTAGTTAACAATAGTGTTGTGTACCGTGTGTGTTTCGGTGTTTGAAGATTTCGTAGGGGACAAAGTTGATTTGTTCAACTAAAAACAAATTAAAAACACCTTCGACGGGGTATTTGTTTTCTTCTATATATTGTAACTTTGGATTTAATAGTACCAATGTTTTTCGAGATTGATGCTCATGATTAAATGTACCGAGAGACAAGTTCAAAACGGTAGTTTTAATTTTTAAATAAAATAAATCAAATTTAATCGGTGTCACGAATTTAAGTTTGAGCATGTAATTGTTTTAATACCGAAAGGGACAATTTTATCTCTTATAATGATCCTACTTAACTCTAACAAATTCTCAATCATACTCTGATTAAGTAGATGAAGTTTATAAAAATCAAATTGACGGATAAATACTAAAAGTCTAAAACAAAATAGTTGACGCAAGTATATGAACTAATTAAAATGATTGATTAAACAATAAATAGAAACTACTTAATTGTTTTAAAACAAATTAATGGAAAATTCATGTTTAAAATTATTAGAATTCTAAAATGAAAATTCTCTCTCTCTCTTAAGTATATATAAATCCAGTATACATATAGTTGTCCTTAGTAAAACTATTTATACATATGAAGTGTATAGCAAGGATAATTCTTGGATGAATAAAACTTATGAGTATGATTCACGTAAGGCTTCATTCGTTAATGGAAAAAAAAAATATTATGTTAATAGCTAATTAGCTAGTATCATATAAATTTAATTTTGATATAACCTTTTCTTAAGAGAATTTTGATATAACCTTAATATATGTATGCCATTATTTTACCTTCGTTTGATTATGTTTCATTTTTATGTTACTGATACCATTGCATGACCATTAACTGATAGATTTAAGATTTTATATTCTAATAATAATACAAGTAACCGAGTCGGATTAGTCTGGCAAAGCCTCGGATTAGTTTGGGAAAGCTTTAGGAAACTGGGCGAGAGAATATAAAAAAATAGAAGTAAAACTTGCATTACCTTTTGGCAGGCCAGTCCAATCATAATGTTACCTAAGCTCTAATTTTAGGCTCTAAAATATTTTTTATTTATAAAATTTAATGAATCAGTTATATTAATATTAATTTTATTTTGTTGATTATTATTCTAGCATTGTAAAAACTGATATTTGATTCTAGTATTATAATGATTTTTTGTTAATTTTTTTAAAATATAATTGTCAATTTTTTTATCATTCTCTCATCTTAAAAAAAAAGTTTAATTTTAAAATTCGCTTTAAGTTTTAAAATATGTTAGACCGATAGGGAACAATTAAATTTAGCATAGGAATGGGAAGCCTGATTGGATTGGCAGCACGATAGATTGAGGTTGAATTAACCTGCCGGCTATTTATGGGTTCAATTTTTTATTATTATAAGAAATTATTCTATTATTTTCTTTTCCTTTTCCTCTCCCAACTATGTCAAAAGTAATATTGTAAAAATAATATTTACTCTACAATTGTCATCTTAACACAGGAGATATCTCCATTTATGTATGGGTAATTATATACGGGCATCATCACAACACATAATTATAACACTTATAGTTTCTTTTTATCCTTTTTATTTTCTTTCTAGCTATCACATTATATTGTTTATTAGGCTATTATATCTACACTTATTATATTATCTATTACATACTTCTCTCTCATTCTCTCCTAAGATATCAACTAGCGTAGTTGTGTTCATGTATAATTTAATTTCTTTTATTTATAATTAATCATAACTTTGGTAGGTCTTACCAAAAAAAGAAAAAAGAAAAAAAATAAAATAAATCATATATAAATTTGGCACATGAGTCACTGTAATGAGAAGGGGATCACAACCCGTGAAAAGCACGGTATGATGGAGGGAAAAACCCAATCATTGCTTGTTATTCGTTAATTGTTATGAAGCTATATGTGAATCGGTTAGCTACATTAATTGTAATATAATAAACTATTCTACTTTTAGAAATTTAATGTTTTTTTTTTTAATCAACGTTGGTCTTTTGTTCATGAAACAACAACAAAATAAATTAAGATAAAAAAGAATCTTATTTAATAATTAAAATATGACAAATTAAGGTTACAAAAAGTAAAAAAAAAAAAAAAAAAAAGTAAACACCCCTTCTATATTCAACTAACCTGACACACATCCGTCCCTGACCACAGATCGATTTATTCAACTTTTATATTAACTTGGATGGAATACATGATTATAATATTATTAGTATTATCTTATAATATAATACAATTATTTTAGGGTATTTTAATGATTAGCATACTTTTTAATGGTTAATTCACTTTATAGAGAGACATAATATACTTAATGAGATTATTATAATGTTGTGAAATATTATAATTTTAGCTAATCGATTACTATGTGAAACATCTTATAATACAAATTGAGAGTATTGTGTGATACATTTTACACACAAATAATTGATTTTTTTTAAAATTATACTTTTGTTCCCTTTATAATGTCTAATATGTAATTTTAGTTCTTTAATTTTATAAAATCTGTAATTTTGATATTTTTTTTTCTTAAATATTCATTTATTAATCATTAAAATTTTAATATTGGTTATGATATAATAATAAGTAAATAACATAATAATTGATATTTAATAATATTTGAGTAAAATAACACTTTTAACTTTTATTTTTATCTTATTTTCATCTCATTTTACAATTTTTATGAGATAAAAAGTAAACTAAAAACAAAATTTGACCCAAATATTATTAAGCATCAATTGTTATGTCATATATTTAATATTAGATCATGATCAATATTACAATTTTAATAATTAACAGATAAATATTCAATAAAAGGATCAAAATTACAAATTTTATAAAAATGAAAAATTAAAATTATGAATTTAAAAGTTAGGAAACCAAAATTATGGATTAGACACATTATAGGAGAACTACATAATATAACCTTGATCTTTAAAGTTACATGTATTAAACAAAAAATTAAATTTTAACTTTTAATTTATATTCAATTTTGTAATTATTCCTGTTCAAATTATAGCACACGAACAAAAACATATAAAAAAATTAATATTTGACTTAACATTTATCGAATAAATATATGATTTTAATATTTATGATTCAATATTATATAAATAATTTAGTTTGTACAGTGCACAAGTAATAAATGTTTATTATACATAACTAAAATTTAAAATAAATTACGTATATAAATAAACAATATGTTTAAAAGTATAAATTATATTTAAAATTTGAATAATAATTAAATATTTTTAAATATATAAAATTTAAATTTATAATAAATAATTTATATTATAACATAAGATTATTTTTATCTATTGATAATCTATTAATTCATAAATAATTATGATATATAAAAGTTAAATTAAATATGAAGTTGAAAGAATATCTAAAAGTCTCTCATTGAAAAAAAAAAATTTCTAAAATATTCTCGAGTAAGATAACTATTCATATTTTATATTTATGAGTTGATTTTTATTCCCTTAATTAAATATATATGAAATGAAGCCCTAAATATATTATTAGTCCTTTAAACTAGTATGGTACCGTACCTTCACATGGGAGATGCGAAGGCATGATTACATCCATATTCTACGCATATTTTAAGTAATTTATATTAATAATATTATTGTTCTAATCGATTGATTTAAAAAATGCAAAACTGTAAAAGAAAATTTTGAAAATGGTAATATATTCAAATGCATTTGTAATAACTAGAGGGAAGATCAATTGCAAAATGAGATTTGGAACAAAGTCATGGTATTGTCATAACTTCTAATAATTTGAGGAACATGATAATTTGAGTTTGAAAGAGAAAATTTTTCAGCACCACAACAAAATATATCTAAGAGATGTGTAAATTGAGACCATATAACTGCACATTAAAAAGTTGCATGAGATATTTGATAAAGAAAAAAAAAATCAAATGAATTCCAATTGAACAATATGCTTAATATAATAATAAGACAAAAAAAAAGTATGATTCTTAACATGAGCTATATACAATTTAGGTATTTGTTACATACTACATTTGGTTAATGTTTAACATAATGAATTTAATAGTCTGAATTAGTTGTTATAAAATTCATTAATTCTAATACATTTAGTCTTCATCATTTATTTAGTTAAATATAAGATTGTATTTGAAAAATTACTTTGCCAACAAGTAAGGCTAATTTTGTTATATGTAGAGAAAAGTCTAAGATTAAAGTTGTATTTGTAATGATTGTTTGAAATCTATTATGTAGATATAACATGTATAAGATACACATATATACAATATAAATAGTCCTTATTTATGTTAGATGTATACACATTAAAGATATATACACAACTAAACACATTTTTTTTATTATAATAGATTAATAGTCTAATACAAGTATACTAACTCGACAAGTATATTATGTTGTTGTAAAGTGATGGTTTTCTCATTGGTCCGCAGATGTCAATTGGATCAACGTCAACAAGTCTTTTGCTCTCCAAGTTTGTCTGGTAGAAAATAGTAGTCTATGTTGCTTTCCCAGAAGACATCCTTTACATGCTTCATTATTTTCTTTTAAAGTTGGAAAATCTCTCATCATATTCTTTTGATATAGTAGCTTCAAGGTTTGAGTGTTGAAGTGGCCAAATCTTCGATGTCATAGCCATGAATCACTAACTTGTTCTTTCATGACAATGTTAGTAGCATATTTAGAATTTATTGAAAAATATTTATTTCCTTTCTCAATTTTAACTTGAGCTATCTCTTTTCTTTTGTTATCGTAGATAACACGTATATCTCTTCCAAAATGAAAAACATAACCTTTCTCCATCATTTAGTTAATACTCCATATATTTTCTTTAAGATTGGAAACAAGTAGGACATTATTAATGAGTTTCATACCTGTCTTAGTCTCCACCATGATAATGCCTTTCCCTATTGACTCTACCATAGCATCATTGCCCAATCGTATTTGAACTTTGACAGATTTATCAATGTCTTTGAAGATGCTCGGATCATTAGCCATGTGATTACTGCACCCACTATCCAAGAACTATCTTCCTTTTGATTCATTGTTGAAATATCGAGTAGCATAGAAAATATGTTGCTTATTGTTTTGCTCTTTGACAAAATTTGCTTATTGTTGATTTTTGTTGAGGAAAATTTTCTCCACATGTCCAAATTTCTTGCATTGTTGACATTGAGGTTTTTCACGATGCTAATA